GAGAGAATCATTGATTGGCTGCCTCTTGCAAGCCCCATACTGGGGATCAAGCCTGAAACTTGGCATGTGCCCTTGACTGGAATCGAACCCAGGACCCTTCAGTCCACAGGTCAACGCTCTATCCACTGAGCCAAACCAGCTAGGGCAACACTGAAACTTTTTAACCAGAGATAAGTCACACAGGCCACACCTGCAAAACTATTTCACAAGGGTTGTAACTATACTGTGGAGAGCCCTTCGGTGAGTCAGGAAGGTGGGAGCCAGTGGAATGGGAGACGCTGATCCAGTTGCCTGACAGACACCAAAGCCCCCCCACCCCCCAGGAGGGGAGACCACGGGTGTTCAATGCAGACAGTGCGCTCAGGCGCATGCGCACTTTTCCTCATGTGAGCCTCCCAGAGGAAGGGAAGAGGCCAATGCAGTATGTCAGCCATGAGTTGGTTAGAGACTTACGCTGTCAGTCCTGGTACTAGAAAGTCTTGTAAGTAAAACTCTCATTGGCATAAACATTTTCTGTTATAAATCATGCCCTTAGCCAGCATTTTCAGAGAATGAACTATCTCACGTAAGTAAAATTCTCAGGTAAGTTTTGCTCTCTCTACATTTAAGAAAAAAGTACAATCCTGGTGGGTGTGGCTCAGTGGGTTGGTCCTGGTCCCGTAAACCGAAAGGCTCAGTCCTGATGTGCCTGGGTTGTGGCTCAGTCCCTGGCAGGCCCAGACACGCAGGAGAAAGGTGATTGTTGTCCCCCCCCCCTTCCTCTCTCTAAAAATCAATAAACATAAATCTAAAAAAAGAAAAGATAAAGAAAAAAAGTCCACACAGGCGTGGGGACAAGCCATAAACCAGCAGGCTTGGCCTTTGACAGCTCTAATGTTCTCCTCGTGTGAGGCGTCCCGCAGTTGTCATGGCTGCAGCCACCCCACCAACAGAACAATCCCAGGTACCTTTTCAACCCACATTCCGCCAACTTCTTCCCCGTCTCCATATGTCAGGTACATCTCCTGACACACTTTCTTCAGCTCCTCCCGCAGTGCGGTCATCTCCCCGCGGTGGTACTGGACGCCGGGGAACACGTCCGACAGGAGACTGAAGAGCAGCGGGATGTCTTCCGCCACCAGCTTTGGCACCATCGTCTCACAGACGCTCTGGATCAGAATCTGCGTGGGAGAAGGGGCGAGCACGTCGCACTGCATGTCTGGCTGAGCCCCTCACAGCCACGCACCCTGTGAACGTCGCCCGCCCCTGCAGTGCACCGCACCGAGCGCTCCCGCGTGGTTCAATGTGGAAGGAAAGTTTAACCAGTGCCCAAGGTTTCAGTGGCTGAGAGGACATGTGGACAAACCTCCTGTTCAGGTAGATTTTCTGCAATCTCTCCTTCATCCACTACTTCGCCTCGTTCTTCCTTCTCCCTCTTTATCTTCTGAATCCTCTCTCTCTTCACGTTACCCGCACTCACCAGCACACTCTTCAAAGCTCGAAGCCCAAAGTCGTAATGGCTCTGAGAAGAGAGCTGCTCATCACACAGCCTAGAAAAGAAAGCGTCTTCTAAAAACCGTGCACTTA